TCAACAGCATTTGTTCATTCAATTTATGAGAATGTGTATTTGTTTTTTTGTCGTATTTCATAATACGACACTTTCTGTCGTAAATATCAACTGTGAAAATTTAGAAAAGAAAAGGCACATACAGTGCATTTCAGATGCCACCGATGGAAACTTTTGCACAGATCGAACAACAATTATTAAATGATTGATACGTATAACGTTTAAAATACAAAGAATATTTTCATTCCTATCTGCTGAGAAATGACTAAACAAATCATGTAACAAATTGACAAACTCCTTCAACACAATTAACTTTATTCCGAGCTGTTCCATAAAAGGAATGCTCTAATTGAAATAATTTGCTGATTTCATCGGCTAGTCCAGAGTGACGTTATTTAACGATAATATTATGCTATGACATCGAAACGTTAAAGGTGATCTGGAACACGAGCGACTGAAACGATGTCGATGACATTTACACACATTCAACTACACCGTCTTTGGCACACGTTGTGCTTGATACCAACAAAGAAGGTGTGAAACTGGCCATGCTACTCCAGCAATAGTATTAAATAATCGTTAGTTTCTTTCTTCGTACACGAGTTTCTATGATAAATGTATTCCTCTTTCTTCGTTTTTTCTTTTAACTGTCTCTTTTTCGTAACTGTTACACTATACCAAGTATGTACGTCGAAAGAAAGTAGCACACATGAATGTTATTAAAATCCAATTTCTAATTAGGTGAAAATTTGTCGAAAATATTTTCCAAAAAAAAGGCACATTTCAGGTAAGAAGCTGTGTGTATGTAAGCACACTTTCGTATCTTCTGTATGATCGACATTTCGTCCGAAAGTGGTCTAACGAAAAAATCAAAAAAAAAAAAAAAACTTGAATTTATCGCTTATTTCGCGTTGCCTCGATCTTTTCACAGAAAGCAGTCATATCATAGAAGTAAGTATTTTGTGAAATATTTTATCAGATAATGGAAAGAAAGTGTTTAATACACCCAGAGGGAAAATTCAATATACTTCGATACGAAAACTATACGACTTAGGCCACTTTCCTAATCACCAGCAGGAACGTATTAGAAAGTAACACTTCCTCATCTTGAGTAATTAGAAGCTCATCGCTGCGTGCCCTCCGCAATCTAGATAGGTTCAATATGATTCGCGTTCGATCATCTTAACTGCGGTAAGGAAAATCGGGAGATTTATTCTTACGAGAGAATTCTGGTCGGCGAGCAATGCAACTTCGATCAGATATTAAACCATACTAAATCTTACCCTGAACCAGAAGTACTTTACTATCGATACGGCGAAATTTTCAACGCAATACCGCAGAAAAATCAGAGAAATGATACTTTTTCTTTTTGCTGCTACTACTTCGTTGAAGTTCTAACAATTAATAAAGGAACCTTGGTTCGATGTTCGTACACCTCGAAAACCAAAATTTCTTTATTTAGTTATGTTCCTTAGGTTTAATTTACAATCTGTAGAAGTACGTTTGGTTACTTTTCTGAAAAGCATCGAAGAATTGGGAATTAATACATCTACCATTTTCTTCTGACCATTGGATTACCATTTCGTTCACTTGAAAACTTTTTAAATGGCAGAAACTTCGAAAATACAGGTCGTTTGAAGTTAACAGTAGAGCAGTTTTTTAATTCCAAAGATGAGAATTTGCTTGAAAAGACAATTAAGAAAAGTTGCTTGAAAAATGGCAAATGGTCATTAACAGTAACTGTAAATGCTGTTACTTTTGTATTGAAACTGGGCTTCTAAAACGACATTACTTACAAGATGACCTAATGCATAGATACACTCAGTGAAAAAAGTCACCGTACACCTCGTTGTAGTTTATTTACCCTAATTTCAATAAAGAAGACAGTAGATAAATAATATTTAGCTTATTTCATTCAAAAACGTAACATTTGCTATTAGTACCAAGGAAAATGTACATTCATTTGTTGACGATTAAACTAAGGAAAAAGAATCACAGAATTTCTGTACATTACCTAAGAATTCAGCAAAAATTTCTAAAGACAAGGCTACGAAGGCGAAAGCAAGTAGAAAAGACGTTGCTTCAAATATTTTTCCTATAATGGAAAATTAGTTTTAGCGAGTGTTACACGTTTGCAAAATAAAACAACGTAAATATTATTTACTACTTTCTCTGTTAAAATCGTACAACGCGAAATAAATTCGAACGAGTGACTTCTTTTCACCGAGTGTAGATATGTAGGTGTGTCGGGTACACTTGGTGAATTTACAACGAGACAATTCTTTATTGAGCACGGTTAAGGTCACAACGATTCCTTTCGGGTAATGTGGATTTGAAAGATTGTAACGTAAAGTTTGTATCTGTTTATCGCAATAATATCACGTTACTTAGAAGATTTGATAATTGCAAAGAAAATTGCCCGTCGAAATTTCGTATAACAAAAGTGAAACCGACAGCTCAAGGTTCTCCGAAATCCTGCCATTCCTTAAAATGACTTGCGATCGATCTACCAAAGCGTTTCTCGTTTCTCCAAAGAGGAAGAAATATTCTACCTTCGTCCTTTTCAAGGGAACGTGGAAATGGGTATAATTGAAAACGGGCTGGTTCAATTTATCTCGTAATTCTCGTAGAACGTTACAAACAGCAATATTCTACGTTTCGATGAAATTTCGTCGGACCTCTCTTGCTACCCTCTTGGTTAACGCGAAATACCATTTCTGTGCTGCAATGCAAGGCGTAGAAAAAAAGACATTTCACTATACAGAATTGATTTTCACCGCAAGTCTATACAGAACAATCTAAAATACCACCGAACCCTCTTACGTTTCACTCTGTTTTTTTGTGGTCGTCCACAATGACAGTAATTTCAGCGGTATTCGGGCATTCGCTCCGCTGTCATGAATTATTCAAGATCGATTTGTGACAGTTATCTGTATCGAAGGTTTCATATTTCGTAACCCACTGAAATATCAAGGACAATCATTGTAACTGCACGATTTATTTCTTCTGCTCTAGAACATTGTTCTATTATACATCAGTACTAAACTCGACTATCAACCTTCGTTTGCCAAATCGGTTAACTCCACGAAACAGAAAATAGAGGAAATTGACGAAATTATATGCATCAAATATAAATATTAATATTTTCTACACCGTTGCGTTGGAAAAATTACTTAGCTAAATTCTTATAAGCGTTTAGC